CTTTCTTTAAAACTCACATTTAATGTATTTTTAACTATTTTCGATATATGTTTGGACTATTCGATATGCCCATAATATAATTCTCGAAATAAGTTTTGAATTGATATAAGCAATTTATAGATTCGATTGGCGTACAATCGTCGGAGAATTTTTAAAATTAGCATGTTATCGAAATTCAAATTTATTGTGATTTTGTCCATATTTGGTGAAGATTAAAATCAAATTTTTAGTAAATTTTGATAAAAATTAAACAGTTATAGATTCCATGAAATATGTTATTAAAATTAATTGTTAACTTTGATTTAGATTAAAATTCAGATTTCAATGGATACCAAACATGATTTTAAAAATTAAAAAAAAATTCTCAAAAGTTGAGGGCACGTTCCCCCTAGGACCCGCCGGCGGACCCTTCCACTCATTTGTTGAATTAGACATCTCATGTCACGACAAAACAATGATTGATTATTTTTTACCTATGAATAATTTTCTCAAGTTCTTTAGGAAGTCCTCTAAAATTTTCATTTATAAGTGTATTAACATAAGTCAATAATTTTTAAAATTTCTAGAATAATAAGATATAATCTTTAGGAAAATCCCGTTGACTCAGTTTTAAAATTATTCCATTAATAAATCCAATTTTAATTAATCTTAAATAATGGAAAATAATGTAGCCCTCCTTTCATGAGACTGATATAATTTTGATATGAGGTAAATATCGTATTTTTTATAACTAATTAGATAACGGATGAGATTGTAGGTATACATCCCTAAAACCCTTTCCCACCTAATGCGTGACTTTAGTGAACCAAGTGGTGTTATAATTTAGTCTACATGATATGCCAAACATTTATCCATCAACCATTCATAATAAACCAACAAAAAGTCTGCACGTACAGGAAAATGCATGGGAATTGGGAAGACAACTACATGATATGCTAAACATTTGTCCATAAACCATTCATAATAAAACCAACAAAAAGTCTGTACGTACAGGGAAATTCAATAGAAAAATGCACAGCAAGACAGCTACTGAATTTCCTATACTCATAGCATATCTCTAAAACCAATTTCAAGATATAGATTCAAAAGATTAGTCAAAACCCAATTTTGGCTCACTT